GCACTCCAACCTTCCATGTCCAGTGTTCCTTTCTTTGCAGGCATTGCAGAGAAGGTACACGGACCAACGACCCTGCCCCGCGCCAAAAAGTCTAATGTCATAGATCCACGAAGTCTCCCACCGAAAACGCTGAAACCAGTGAAGTACCACCGTGCCCAGAAGCCCTATCAACCCTTCTAGTTATTCAAGACCCTGCGCTACACTGCACCGCTGGGGTGGACTTACTGCTGCTGCTGATGATAATAATAATAGTAATGACGTTGACATTATGTTGATGTCGATTCAAGTTAATGGTGGTGATGATGGTAATGATGCTCATGATGTTGCCATTGATGCTGAAATCAGTGATGGTGTTGTTCTCGTTGTTGCTGCCGTCGTCGTTGTCATCGTCGTTGGTCGTGGTTGTGGTGGTTGTTGGCGTGGTCGTTGTTGTCGTCCTTGTTTTTGTTGGTGTTGGCGTTGGCGTTGGCGTTGGCGTTGGCGTTGGCGTTGGTGTTGGTGTTGGTGTTGGTGTTGGTGTTGGTGTTGGTGTTGGTGTTAGTGTTAGTGTGTGTGTGTGTTTGGTTTGTGTTTGTTTATGTGCATTTTATGGGTAATACCTACCTACCCATCTACCTGCCTGCCTACCTACTGAAAGATACAGACAAACATGCATACACATAAATTGACATACATGTATGCATATGTACATATATCTACTTATGCGTACATATGCATACCCATGCATACAAATGCATGCGTATGCATACACGCATGTACCTGCATGCACATATTGTACATCTCCGTACAGACATACTGTATGATTTCACTTGAATACATGTACTTGTACACCTACCTACACATACATATACAGACACATGTACATACGCATGAATATACACACATACACATTCACATATGCGTACGCGCCCAGGTCTCGGCCACCGCACTTTTTGCGGCCATGTTGGGTGCAGTTCCCGTGAAGGCGGAGGGTGACAACACCTGGTGCCAGGCGCCGTGGTGTTTCAGGGGACTTGATAGGTTTCAGCATGAGGGATCTGAGGGTTGTTCGGGTCTTGTTACTGTTGGCGGTAACAGGCTTGCATGTAATGAGCTGGATGGTGTTCATGAAAGCTGCAATAGTGCAAGTTCGCAACTAGAAGTTGCAACCACAGCCGGGTTTCGCATTCCTCTTCGGACACCCATGCCGAGCAACTACCCGCTGCCATCCCGGACTCAAAGTGCCGAAATACCCAAGTCCCAACCAATAGGAACCCCAGCTCGATCCTTAAACGCCCCAAGAACAGAACACAGATACTCAAAGCTTAGTTAGGGCCCCAAATTCCCAAACGAGTCTCTGAAGGACATGCGCTCGAAGGGTTGGGCCGCCAGCTTGGCCAAGGCCGGTGGCCAGTCCTTCAGATGAGAAAGAGCTCTAAGCCGTCTGGGATGTCGGCAGATCTGAATGTAAATCCCGAGCCCAAAATCCCCCACACCCTAACCTTACGTAGCTGTCTTGTTGTAAAGTCAGCGTGTGGAGTAACTCACAGTCTCGTCTTAAAGCCCCATGAACTTCCAGACCCTAAACCCTGAGACCCAACCTCAAGCTCTAGAAGCCCGAGCCCGAAACCCGAAACTCGAAGCTCGAAGCCCAGACGGGAAGTCTGCGGTTCCTTCATATGACTTCCTTGCGGATTACATAGGCCCTTAGCTTAAAAAGGGTAATAATTTTGGTCCTGCCCTCTGTTAAGGTTCCTTAGTATGACGTCCAGTCCTTAACAGGGTAGGTTTTTTGGTGTTAAGGTAAAGCCTTGAACTCGTCAGGATTTAGTGGTGCCGCAGTACGTGGCGGGCGGTGTCAACATGGACGGCCTGGGGCCCGGAGTGAGCTTCATTAGAAGCTACAACGGAAGCACACTTCGCTTCTTTTTGGGGGGGTGGGGCGGCGACCCTAAACCCTAAACACCATTCTGTGTGTGTCCGATAGCATAGTGCTTATGTACGTGCTTTCTGGACTATACGACGCCGACTCCTCTCGGCCTGCTGTGGGTTCAGAGGAAAGTAGAAATAGGATCAGTATCTGTGGAGAGAAGATATCGGCCGTGGGACTAGCTCGGTCGTAGGAGCATTTACCGAACCAGGACTAGGAGCAGTACTGTAGGGGCCTACATCATTACCAATGCTATTTTGAGTGGGTCCTTATTGTAATTATAGTACACTGGGCCCCCAAACCCAATTCTAATTATTCAGGCCCCTATATTAAACCCTTATAGTACAACTTATAGTAACCCTTTTAAAGGAACCCTAGTCTAATTATTAAGGCCCCTATATTAGGGGACTCATCGGCTCAGAGGATCGGTAGATAGCCGGCACTTCAGCGGGGTGCTTTCTTGTTTCGCTTTGCCACGGCTGGCTGGGGAGGCTCAGAGCTTCTTTTGGGGGGCAAAAACACAGGGCTTGGGGGGTTACGTGGTAACAGAGAAAGCTCTACATTTTTGCAGGGTTCCTTGTCCTAGCTTCCGCCTGCAAGGGATGGGTGTTTTGGGCTGCAGATGGGGTTTGATCTCTTGGAGCTTCAGACTTCGGAGGGGTTTGGAGGTGACACCACGGCCGGCGACGTTACAGCTGGAGCCAAATCTGACTCCAAGGCTCGAAACTCTTTGGGTGACGTGGTCTTTTGAGGAGTGCATTGGGGCGGCGGTTGAGGATTTACTGTAGGGTTTAGGGCTTGCGGCCCTCAGGGCATCTAGGGATACAGGATTACTAGCAGTTTTTGAGTTTGGCCTTGGGAAACTTTGGGTTGTTGAACTGAGTTGTCGAAAAGTATGTCTGTATACAGAGGTAAACGTACTACACATGTATGGGGAACTAAAAAACGCTAAGCCCTAAACCCTAAATCAACCCTAAACCCTAAACCCTAAACCATAAACCCAAAGCCTGTATACAGAGGTAAACGTACTACA